TTGTTGTTGTTGTAAGATTCTGGCCCAAGATGAGGATTTTATTTCTCGTAGCCGTAGCGAGCTTTCTTGGGTGCCTGGGTCCCAAGTCCCAGGGTCCAGCTATGGATCAGAATCGAGGGTTTCGGGAAGTAGCGCCCCCCGATGAAGCTGAGCAGCATGCGCAGCGAAGTCAGCTAACCATGAACAAAGCCGGCAAGCGAAGCTACCAAAGAGCTTGTAAAGTTGCCCTGGCGAAGGGAGCAGCACTTTACAAAGGCCGTCTTCTGACAGCTCAGGCTCTAGGAGCTCATGAAGGACAATTCGCGTCTCCTGCGAAAGCGGAGAGGCGTTCTTTTCAACCGAACAGACAGATCCATCACAAATTTGACATGGAAGTCCTTACTTGGAACGCAGGCTCAATTACAAGTCGAGTTTGGAACGAGATTCTGGCCCTTTTGGCAACAACAGAGTACAAGAACATCAAAATCGTTTTCCTGCAGGAATCGCATTGGCAGCAGGACCAGGTCTACAGCTCAGGCCCGTGGTCAGTCCTAACCTGTGGCTCAACAAGCAGACACAAGGCTGGCCTGGTTGTCTTGGTGCATAGCTCACTGGCTCCTCTTTCAGAAATTCTCAGCACTTCCATTGTTCCAGGGCATTTGCAGCACGTCATGATCCCGTGGCAGAGATCCAGAATACATCTCCTGAACCTGTACCAGCACGTCTGGGATTCAAAGCTCTCGAAGACGGAAAACAGAGGCAGGAGAAAGGACGTGATGACACAGCTCGAAAATCGAATACAGAGAGTCCCACAACGTGACTTCTTGATTGTGGCTGGGGATTTCAATGCGCATGCGGTGACTGAACGTCCTCATATCGGACCAAGTGTGCCTCATCGAGTACGGTTTGCAAATGCGGATGTGAAGACACTGCCCTCGCTCTGCAAATCCTGTGGACTAACTGCGCTGAACACATGGGCTTCTGGCCATCGCAGTACGTATGCTAACAGTGATGGCACATATTCCTCTCAGATCGATTTTCTGCTGGTCAGACTGCACGATGCTCGGAGGAGATCCAAGGAGGCCTACTCGGATAAGAACTTTCCTGTGGCTGCCTACAGAGATGGATCAAAACACTTTCCAGTGCGAGCCACTCTGTTCATTCCTCCTTACAGTCCTACACCCAGCAAGCCACGGCCGTTTGATGCCACAGCCCTGGATGCGAGCTTTCGGCGGAAAGATGACAACTGGCAGGCATACTCACATCGTCTGACGGAAGCAGTGGTGAGGACAATGCAAGTGAGACCGTCTTGGCAAGAACTGGATGAAGTGATGGTTAGTGTATCAGCTGAGCACTATCCTCCTCCACGCAAGTCTCAGCCAGTAGCAGGTCCTATTCATCAGGAATATTGGAAGAAAGTGCGGCAAATCCAGGCGCACAAGAGGGCTGGAACCGAGCATAATTCAGAATGCCAGAAGCTTGTGGAGGACATCAAGGAGGAGGCGCGGACTTTCAAAAAGCAGCAAAAACAAAGAAAGCTAGAGAAGCAAGAGCAGTTGCTTCTACAAGCCCAGGAAGATAAAAGGCAACAATCCCACAAACTGGCTCATACTCTCAGGAAACTTGCTCCGTGGCGCCCAGTGCAGAGAGTCAACCTAAGGGATCAAGCAGGTGAGCCGCTTGATACGGAGGCCTCACTAAAAACTATGCGCGAATACTCGAGTCAAATCTTCTCCAAAAATTCTCCTTTGCACTCAGTAGCTGCTGTGCCCAGAGCAGCGATCACCGCCTTGCAGGTATCCTCACAAATCAAGACAGTGCCAGTGGGGAAAGCAGTCCCCAGCACCTCAGCCCCAGTATCAGCTTGGAAGAGTCTAGGTCCTGAAGCCCACGAACACATAGCAGGTCTAATCAACTCTGAGGTGTCCCAATCAGAAATTTCCCCTTATCTAAAGGACCCTCGAATTGCATGGATCCCCAAGCCGGGCAAGCCAGCCACCGCCATGAAAAACCTGAGGCCCATAGGAGTCATCAGCGTGCCAGGCAAAGTGCTAGCAGGCGCAGTGAAGACTCGCATTGCACCAGCACTGCAGGAGAGCTCACAGCTTCAGCCTCAATTTGCCTACATCAGGCAGAGGGGGGTGCGGGACGCCATCGCGAAAGCATGTCAGCACCTTGATTTCGTGCAGCAGCTCCGTCAAGTGCATCGCAGGGACCTGCACAAGTCCCAACGCGGAGCCAGGCAGGCTCAGCTGTCAGGGGCACTTACTATTTCGGTCGATCTGAGCAAAGCTTTTGATTCTGTTAATAGACATGAGCTGCTAGCTGCCTTGGATCGCCTGGGAACAGACCCTGTTACGAAAGAACTGGTAGTTCAACTACACAGTGAGACCTCCTACAACATGGGCACAAGTGGACTAGAGATTCAAGTTCCCACTTCTTCAGGAATCAAACAAGGTTGCAAGCTAGCCCCGGCATTGTGGTCTGCGCTGACACTTCTAGTCATGAGCAGAATGGAGCAGAAATGGGGCCCAGATAGCAAGCAAGCTAGGGACATCCTAACAGTCTTTGCAGACGATTTCCTGCTCCAGGAAACCTTCTCGAGCTTTCCTGAACTTCAGAAAGTCCTGCTCAGAATAGAGGCTCTCTTTCAGTCTCTTGAGGACGTGGGGCTGGAAGTCAATCCAGCGAAGTCCAAAGCCTTGCTAATGGTTCAGGGCACTCAGCAGTCCATCTTTCGCAAGAAGCCTACATTTTCAACCTGGGGGGGGGGGGGGGGTCCGTCGGCGACGTATCTTTTTCTTGGTTTTTCTTTTAAGTCCTCCTTTATTCCTTACCTTTTTACGGGGGGTTACATCTCGCGCTGGGTCTTCATATGTTCTCCTCTCCTCACCTCTCCCTGCCGCGGTCAACCACAAAAACCTCCTTCCTTTTGTGGGCTCGCGGGGGGGGGGTGACAAAAAAAAAAAAAAAAAAACAAAAAAAAAAACACGATGCGCAAAGAGAAGCAGTTGCACATCGTCCTTCCCTCAGGACATAAGATTCCGATACATCACAAACTAACATATCTAGGGGTGCAGCTTAGCTATGGATCCTACAAAGACCAGACTGTTGACTATAGGATCGCCCAAGCTCAAGGCAAGTTTGAGCTACTTCGACACATCCTGTGCTCCACTAAGGCCTTGGAGGCTTCAAAGAAGTTGGAGATCTGGAGGGTCTATGTGGAATCCTCACTCTTGCATGGGCTTGTGGCCACTGGCGTCACCTCATCAGGTCTTCAGAAGCTTCAGAGTAAATACTCTAGGATGCTAAGATCCATCTTTAAGCAACATCAGCACTACAGCCATATTGACACGAAGACTCTGTTCGAGCACTACAAGGTTCAGTCTCCTCAAGCAGTTTTGATCAGCCAGATGAAAAACTATCAAGACGCACTAGATGCCTGTCAGAAGTCCAACCCGGATCAGAACATACAGTGGCATCTGGGACTTAGAGGTAGGATTGTTGCGCTGCAACAGGAGCTTCAGAGCATGCATTTGGACCTGATCGAGGCAGACCAGGAGGTACCGTGCTCTCTGTGCGATCGGAAATTTTCCAGCGCTAAGGGTCTTCAGCAACATACTCTGGTGAAGCATGGAGGACAGCGTGCGAATCAGCTAGGCCCAAAATTTCAGGTCACTGTGCATGCTGCAAAGGACTTCCGCAATGTGCGGCATGCAACAGGCAGTTGCGCACAATGCATCAACTTCGCAGACATGTGGAGTCAGGCATTTGCCCTCAGCTGCACGAGCTGAAAGAACGAGCCAAATCCTGTACAAGCTCAGAAAGTATAGCTATGATCTATCAGTCTAGCGTGCAGGAACAACTTAAGAAGGATCCTGATCTTCTACTAAAAAAGAGACATGTCACTCAGCATCTATTAACGAACTGCAGTCTCTGTGGGCAATTCATTGTTGGCCACAAAGGAGTGAAACAGCACATTCAGAAAGCTCATCCCGCTTTCTGGGCACAATCCTCGGCATCCATTCTTGCCAACATGCGAACACATAAGCGCCTCCTGCACAAAAAAGAAGAATGTAGGTATTGTCGCATTGTGGTAGATGCTCCAGTACGCCATGCAGAGCAATGTGTGGTTCTGCTTCAGACATACGCCATGAGTGCAGCTTGTGCCAAGCCTATGGAACTGCCAGATCTCTTCAGTGCAGATCCTCCAATTAGCCAGGTGAGAGGAAGGTAGGCTTCCTCCCAGGAGGCTTCCTCCAGCAGCCGAGCTTCTTTGCTGACATACACTGCACGCGTCTCGGGTCGTTCAACCACTGCACCTCCCACAGCTTCCATGCAAGACGCTGCCTGGCGTCTAGCTTATCATAATCCGCATCAACTGTGCTATGCACACACGGTCGTTCATATCCTTATCTCTCTCTTGTCAGACGGACTGTTCCCAGATCCTTCTTTAAATTCCATCCTAACGGAAATAGGTTCACTGAATGGCAGATCCTCTCATGCGGATGTTCGGAGGTTGCGACATCTTCGTCCGCTGCTAGCAGGATGGCGATTACGACCCAGGCAGGAGGATGAATCTCAATTTCTGTTGCATATCTCTCAGCGTATTCCAGATCTTTCATCAGATAAATGGGAGGCGCGAGTTCATATCTCAGCACCGGAGGAACGCATAAGCGTTGAGGAAAAAGGCGGCTTGATTCTGTATCTACCCGAGCCGCCGGATGGACTCTCGACTCTTCAGCAATCAGTAACACAATGGACGAACAGGGGTAGTGTGTTTGCCTTGCTTCCAGATACAAGACTCATTTGCTTACAAATTCAAAGATTTGATCAGCAAATCAAAACTTCCCGCCCACAAGCGCTGGACACAGTTCTTGAGATGCCAATGTTTCAGGATAACGGAACCTCAACAGAAGCAGTGTCCTTTAGCCTCTATGCATTTATTATTCATATCGGCGAAGACTGGAACTCTGGACATTACAGAGCGGGATTTTGGAGAGAGAGCGTAGCGTACCTAG